TCAAAAATTAAATATGGAACTGCCATTTGACCCAGTGATCCCACTTCTAGGAATATATCCTAAGAAACCCAAAACACCAATCAGAAAGAATGTATGTACCCCTACGTTCATAGCAGCACAATTTAAATAACTAACATCTGAAAATAGCCCAAATGTCCATCATAGATAACTGGATTAAAAAAAAGCTGTGGTACATTTATACCATGGAATATTATGCATTAGTAGAAAAGAATCTCTTACCCCCTTTGAGACAGCATGGAGGGACCTGGAGAGTACCATGCGAAGTAAAGTTAGTCAGTCAGAGGAAGACAAGTATCACATGATCTCACTCATATATAATCTAATTAACAAAATAAACTGATGAACCGAGTGGTTCCAGAGACATGGCAGCATAGGACAGAGTGCAGCATCTCTGAGGAAAGGCAGGGGAGGGTGCGTGCAGGGGAGGTAATCAACCAATGATCTTGTATGCATATAGGCAAAACCCATGGATGCTGACAGTGAGGTGGTGGGGGCCTGGGGTGGGGGGCAGTGTAGTCTGGAGGGGATCAAGGGGAGGAAAGGATATACTTTCAAAAATAAAGATTTAAAAAAATAAATAAAATAAATTGCAAAAGATCAAAGATACCCAATCCACTTTTGAAAAATAGGATGGCAGGCTTTACTTGCCTTATCATAGAGCTGCCATAAATAATGTGGTGAAATATTAACACAAACAGATTAATGGAATCATAGAGAGAACCCAGAAAATAACAGACATATACGTACAGTTAATACGCGGAAGTACACTGCATGATGCCAGGACAAGCAGCTACGCAGGATACTCCCTCACACAGACACAAATAATTTCCAAGTGGAATCAAAGACATAATGGGAAAGGTAAAATTATGAAACATTTTTCAATGAAAAGAATTTTAAAAGGCAAGAGAATATTTTTATGAATTAAAGATAAAAATGATTCCTTAAGATACAAAAGACACTAAATGATTGATAGACTTGCCATTAAACTTTAGAATTTCTGTTCATCAAAACCACCATGAAGAGAATGAAAAGTAATCCAGAGAGGATAAGGATATTTACAATAAATATAACCAAATAATGATTAGTATCAGGAATACATCCTCCAAATTAATGAGAAAAAGACAACAGAAAGATGAAGGAAAGACTTGGATGGGCACTTTTTAAAAGAAATCCAGTGGCAAATAAACATATGATATTCAATGCCATTCCAAATAGGGAGGTGCAAAATAAAATCAAATGAATATCTACTGTAAAAACATATTAGCTAAAATTAAAATCTGGCAATATCAGGTGTGGATGAACTGGAAGTGTCATACATGGTGGAGGGGTCATGGTGGGAATAGTCAATGTTAAAGATGTGCACACCTTCTATTTCAGCTCCTAGATAAATATCCTACAGAAATTTATGTGCATAACGATACTCATTGCAGCATTGCCTTTAATAGCCCAAACTAAAACTATCATAGAACTATCACAGAATGGTATTAGCAGAATAGTACATGAAACAGTAATGAAAATGAATAAACCATACTTACACATGACATGAATTATTATAAGCAATGTTGAAAGACACCAGATATACATTATGATTCCATTTTTGTAAGTCGAAAGCAAAACAAACTAAGTAGTTGCACACATAACTTGGTAAAACCACTTTTTAAAGATAAGGGAAGTAAGTATTACCCTAAAGTCAGGATAGTAGTTATATTTGGGGTGGGGTGGGGGAAAGAGAGTCATAAGGGGTAACAGGGCACACACAGGGAGATTCTGGAGTACTGGCAGTAGCTTTTCTGCATCTGGTTTGTGATTACATAGCTGTTTGCTTTATCCACTAAAAGGCACACCTGTTTTATATTTTATAAAATTTTATAAAATTAAAAAAGCTATATTTTATAAAATTTTAAAGAACGAAGGAGTTGTACTACCAAATATTAATGCTAATAAAAGCCATAATTATTGAAAAGTGTGGGGAAAACAAAACACACAACACACCAAGACACTGAAGACAACTATGACTATTCTATGGTAGCATTACAAATCAGTGGGGAAATGGTAGTTTATACTAAACCAATTGATCAACTATTGGCAAAAATTAAATCTCACCTCATAAAATATCCACAAATAAATTTGAGATGGATCAAAAATTTCCTTTTGAACTAAGGATAAGTATAAAAGTGAAATTTTTAAGAAGTACTAGAATAAGGATAAATATGTATCCACCTTTAGAGTGGGGAAAGCATGCTCAAGCACAAACATATCTGCAAAGGTAGAATCCTAAAGAAAACTTCTACATCAAAAACACTGTGAACTGTATTAAAAGGCAAATGATACACTAAAACAATAACAACAGAAGATGGGCATCTGAACTTGTAAAGAACTTACAAACCAATCAAAATCACAAATTCTCCCCCCAAAAAATATAGATAATATAGAATGCCCCCAAAAATGTATATACAGTACTAGTAAATGGTCAATAAACATGAAAAAAAACAAAAACACATCCAACCTTGATTAAGTAATCAAACACCAATTTTACAGGTATCCTTTTCTGCAACTATTCAATTTGCAAAGATTCTTAACAGCAATTTTCAATTCTGGTTGTTTGATATATTGTTAGTGGGAATGTAAAAGGACAATCTTTGTGATGAGGGATAAGATATATATATATATATATATATATATATATATATATATATATATATATATATATATCAAGATTCTCAAAAACTACCTTCCACCTAGCAATTTCACTTCTAAAAATATATCTTCTGGAAATAAGTCATTTTGTACATGTGTAATTATCTCTTAAGATGTTGATAGCATCATTGTTTAGTTATAATTAATAATCAAACTGTCAAAGATTAAGTTGATTTTAAAAATTATGGTACACCCATAAAATGCAAGCCTGCAGCTATTTAAAATGCAAAATATTTAATATGGGAAAATGTTTACAACATATTGAGCAGACTGTGAGTTAATGTATACTGTGATTGTGCTATCGTATATAATAAAAGCCTAATAATACGCGAATTGTCTCCTTGGGCAGTCATTTGACTGCTCGCTATGAGGTGCCCTGACCACCAGGGGGCAGCACAGAACACAGTGGAGGCTGGCATTGGAGGTTTTGCAGGCCCCAATGGGCTCCAAGGAGAGCAGGACCACAGCAGGATAGTGGAACAGGTGAGAGGCTGGCCCCAGGTCAAGGCAGGTGTGAGCGGGGCCCAATCACCCTGCTGATTGCCCCACACTGCACCCAGCTCCTAGGCACTGAGGGAGTCAGGTGGGGAGCCCCAGCCCTGATCAATCATCTCACAGGCGGGATGGTGGAGCAGGTGAGGCAGTGGCACCAGGGTAAAGGCAGAGTGCCAGGCAGGGGTATGGGGCTGTGAGGCTGGGGTCATGAGCTGGGGCCTGATCTCTACAGGCCACCCTGAGGGACCCCACCTGTGCACAAATTTGTGCATTGGGCCTCTAGTTAAAAATATACATGGATAGCTATGCATAGAAAAAAATATGTACAAATAAATATATACCCAAGTAGAACCTCTCTGGGTAGCAGAATTACAGGAATTGTGCATGTATGCATGCGAACCCTTCTACTTTATCCTACTTTCCAGACATGCCAGTAACATGTATTATTTCATCCTCTAACAAAAGAACATCAAATAACTTTGTTGTGAAATCATTTACTATTAGTTTTATAAACTAAACATAATGAAATTATTAGCTCAGAATAGTTTTAATTTGCTTTTCTGGGGGTAATATGGACTTGATATAGAACTCAGCCCTTACTCTCCTTGTACATCTGACCTAAATGTATTTTCCATCAAATCACATATATGAAAAGTCTCTTTTAAAGTTAAGTTAAATTTAACTAAGCACCAGTAACACATCACCATTAAAATTTTGAAGTTGCTCTAATTAATATTTTATTCTTGCTTTCAACGCTATTTAAAAGCTACAACATATTAAAGAAATGTTTGATTACATGTTAATTTCTCTGAAGATAATCAGATAATCCTACAAACATAAATATATAAATTGAGGTTTCTGCAGCCTACATATGTATGTTTCTTTGAGGGAAAAAACAATATATTGACAAATAATTCAATTGTAGCTTAAAAACAAAAAAAAAACTGTTTTTCTCCAAACTGAATCTATCATACTTTAAGAGCAATGAACTCAGATCAGGTCAAGTATATGAACAGCTATTCCCTTCACCTCATCCGTCATTTTATTTTCCTATATTTCATGTAACCCTGGACAAAGCTGATCATTCAGAGAGACCATCCACCCTCCAACATGAACTAAAAATAGTTATACACAATTTTCAACTGAGCAGGTAGGCAGCTCTAACCCCCGCATTGTTCAAGAGTCAAATGTACTCCTTATTCGTAACCAGAAGAAAGATAACATTCTTCCAAGGAAGACAGAAGAAGGACACAAACATTTAAGCATTTTTCCATGAATGCCTTCCTAGGCATTTCCCATCCAGGACCTCAATAAGCCCATGCAAACATGCACAGAATTTAGACTGCTCCCTTCATTACTCGAAAGAGTGAACTATATCTTCTATTCATTTTAGGTGATGCCTAGGAGAACTAAATATTTAACTGAAAGGCATGTACAGTAATAAAAGCTATTTGATAGAGGTAAAAAGAAGGGAAAAAAGCAGTCACCTGCTTTCATTTGGCTTAGAGGGGAAAAAATATTCTTTACTATATACTAAAATATCAGACAACACACAACATACTGCAAAACTTTAATACAAGTTTAAACACAACATTCAAATGTTAAACTTTTCCAGTACATGAAAGTTATCTTCTGAAAAACAAACTATTTTTATAGCTACTGTTGCATAACATTATAAAATTATTTCCCTCAACATCTGACACTGATCTTGATACTTGTTAGAAAAGTCTGATGTAAGAAAATGACATCTCAACAGGCAGAGTCAGGAGAGTTCCCAGTGCCCATCTTCAGAATTCACCATCAGAGAACTGGTCATCATCTTCATCCCTTACTTCTCGGTATTTCCTCGAAGGCTCCCCTTCTGGATTATAGCTCTGCATTTTAATATTCAGTCTTTCAGCTAATTTTTGTGCTGCGAGCTTTGCTTGCATCTCCTTTAAAATAAAATGTAAAGCAAGAAGTTATACACTCCATATTTTCCCTACAATTCCTAAACTTATAGAGTTCTACAGCAATGCACCACACCTGACAGCTGTGTCTACCACAAACACAACAGAGCTGTGCTGGGAGAACTACTACCCTGTTTCCCCGAAAATAAGACAGGGTCTTACATTAATTTTTTCTCCCAAAGTTGCGCTAGATCTTTTCAGGGGATGTCTTATCTTTCCATGAGCTAGGTCTTATTTTCGGAGGATGTCTTATTTTCGGAGAAACACGGTAGTCTGCTACAGCTCTAGTTACAGCTGTCCATTAATAAAGTGCATGGAAATATTCCACCTCTTCATGAGAAACTGAGTAATCAGTACACACTACAACAGTTATAAATACAAATATATTTTTAAGTATATCCTATCTAATAAAAGAGTAATATGCAAATTGACCATAACTCCAACACACAAGATGGCCACCCCATGTGGTCAAAGATGGCTGCCACAAGATGGCCAGCAGGGGAGGGCAGTTGTGGGCAATCAGGTCAGCAGGGTAGGGCAGTTAGGGACAACCAGGCTGGCAAGGAAGGGAAGTTAAGGGTGACCGGGATAGCAGGGAAGGGCGACCAGGCCTGCAGGGGAGGACAGTTAGGGGCAACAAGGCTTGCAGGGGAGGGCAGTTAAGGGCAATTGTGCCAACAGGGGAGCAGTTAGGGGTCAATCAGGCTGCAGGGGAGTGGTTAGGGGGTGATCATGCTGGCAGGCAGAAGCATTTAGGGGCAATCAGGCAGGCAGGCAGGCAGGCAGGCAAGCGGTTGGGAACCAACAGTCCTGGAATGTGAGATCGGGCCTAAACGGGCAGTCGGACATCCCTCAGAGGGTCCCAGATTGGAGAGGGTGCAGGCTGGGCTGAGGGACACCTTCCACTATGTGCACCAGGCCTCAAGTGTAGAACAATCTGAGCTATTAAATGTCAAAAATCACTAATGATATGCTGATTCTCCAACTGACAATTATCTTTCCTAGATTAAATCATGGCTTCTAGGCTTGTGAGTTACCTTTCAATACCACAATAAAAATCAAAAAGTTAATACTGGAAAGCTGACTATCCTTCTCCAAATAAAGTCCCAAGGAAATTATGCAGAAAAGTGTCCAAGTAAATTCCAGATTCTGGCAATGTGCACCCAAGGATAAACCACCGATGTACGGCAGGCAGCAATATTCATTTCCAGTTCTGCCCTTCACATTCCTCCTGCTTTCTCCCACACCACAGGAGCTCCTTTAGGACCGTCCCCTCAGGCCATGGACATTAGGGAAAAGTAGGACTGAAGCAGGAGCTACTACTACTCTGCCCAGGAAGTCAACTTCAAACTGAAGGGTGTAATTCAATCTAAAAATGTCTTAGGACAGGCATTTAAGATCATATAGACAATTTTTTAAAAAATTCCTCAGTGCTATGGTTGTATAATTGTAACGCACTGAGAGGAAGAAAAAATGGCTTTAAAAAGGAGTGCCTTGACAATGCCAATCCATGCCAGTTGAGCTTTTACCAAAAGCCAAGACAGAATAGCCTTGGTTCTGTATTAACTGTATATACTACCTGATTAAAATCTAAGCAATATTAAGATGTTGGGCTACTATTTTTCTGGAGACTCAAATTATTACTAAATATATCAAACCTTTTCTTTTCTCACTAAGGTTCTCATACCTATTTTCTTCCATCTCATTATTCTGTACACAAATTGTCAATATACATGTTTATAATTCTATGTAGAACGTACAGATCTTCAAAACAGTCCTATACAAACATGATTTAAGTCAATATATATGAGATTCTTCTATCTTCACAAGGGCCTACCGATTAGGCTTTTAAGCCTAGTGTCCAATTGTCTGTTGGAACACAACACTGTTCCCCCACCCCCTTTATGCCCTCCCATGTATCACAGGAAATGGAAGCCGGAAACCACATTTCCCTGGTTCTCTTTGCAGGTCCTGGTTAGATCCCACCACTAAGCAGCTCTCCCATGGGCTTCCTAAGGTAGAAAAGACTAGTGATATTACTGCTGTCCTAAGAGCCTGGGCTTTCGGAGATGTGCCATGTTGCAGCATTTCCTGGTGAATACCAGTTTGATGCTACAGGTTGCTGTGATCACCTCCAGCTGCTTCCTGCAGTTCTAGCACTTCAAAACTGAAAACTAGAGGCACACATCTGAGAGCTAACAGCATTCACCTGCCATTTCTCTGGCACCTAATCCCTCTGTTATTATAAATCCCATCCTCCCTGAAGTAAAATCTGACTTACGATAAGTAGCATCCAACATACAGACAGTAAACAAGTAATACTCTTAAATACCTCATAACTCTGTTTCTGCTGTTGCTGAAGTGCCAAAGACTCTTCTATGGAGAGCAGCTGTGCAGGCAGGTGGTGCAGTGGTAGGAGCCGAGCCGCTGTGATGTCATCGAGATGCTGCTTATCCCTGCGCAGCCTTTCCTCTGAGGAAACAGGAGACCCTCTTCTCTGCCGATGACTCGGTGAATCATTCTGTTGTGAAGGTAACCTGAAGGAGGGAAAACTCAGGTTATATCACCTTTCTGTAGACATACATCTACCACACTCACACAAGAGGCCTTCAACTGTAGCTTTGTCCTTTCCTTCTCTCTTCAAACCTTGTACTTGAACTGCAGCAGCTACCTTTTTTTTTTTTTTCATTCAAAAAACATTTGCAGAGAAACACCACATGACCTCACTTATTTATGGATAATAAAGAACATTATAAACTGATGAACCAAAAGATATAGAGACAGTAAAGCAACAAGCAGACTGTCAAATTACAGTGGGGAGGGGAGGGAGATCTGGGGGAGATAAGAGATCAACCGAAGGGCTTGCATACATGCATATAAGTACAACCAATGGACACAAAACTCTGGGGAGGGAGGGCATGTATGGGGGAAGGGGGGGCCAATGATAAGATATGTACAGAGATAATAATTTAATTAAAAAAAAACATTTGCAAAAGGGCTTACTATTCAGAAGAGGGAAATAAAGTTATCAATCATTTCAATACAACACAGGGTGGGGCAAAAGTCCAACAGTTCATTCTCATATTATTTACTTATGATTGTTCTATTTTCCATATGAACAACTGTAAACCTACCCTGTGTAATACCTTAGGTACCATGACTCATATCTATATATGGTACATGGGAACATAAAGGAAATGTCAATTCTAATGGGAGACAGGGAGGTTGTCAGAAAAACTTCAAGATGGTGAAATCTGAGGAGTCCTGAAACAGAGAAAAATGAGGGGAGGGGGGCACCCCAGCAGAGGGAGAAGCGCACGGCTGCAGCACTCAGGAGGTGCAAGAGGGAGAGAGTACAGAAAAGGCAGCCAGACAAGCCCGGGAAGTAGACTAGGTCCAGACACAGTGAAAAGCTCTATTCTGGGGAACAGGTTCCCATTTGATTTTACACATTTTATTCCGGCAGCAGTGAAGACGGGCTGGTGAAGAGTTAAGGCGTGAGGCTGGAACAGACCATAGTGATAGCCTAAGAGGGTAACAGTCCTCCCTTAGGAAAGAGGATGACGGCAAAGGAAATGTGTTATGTAGGTCTTCATAGCTAGAAGATATGGAGATGGGGAAAAAGGAAGACACCTTGGGAAGAGGAAGGTGGGTGAGGAGGTGACACTAATAATTAGGAAATATGGGGAAAAGTCAGTTTGGGAAGAAATGAGTTCTACTTTGTACATGATATACCTGAGGTGCCATGGATACTCAGTCACATTTCATAGGTAACTGCAGTGTAATCTGAAGTTCCAAAAAGACCAAAGCTAGAGATAGGAGAGGGGCAGCCTCCAGCATCCTGGTGGCAATGGAGCCAGGAGGACATGCAGGAGGTGGCCAAGGGAAGAGCAGAACTGGAGCCTTCCTCCACTTCCCAAATGCCAAGCAGCTGTCATGCTCCCCTCAACCCCTCTGGCCCACCGCCTTTTATCAAGGCCCAGCCTTTCCTGATCTGCTCTGAGTGCACAGGAGCTCTTTCGGTTCAACTCCCTTAACCCCTGGTAGCCCTCACTGCTTCTCCCATTCCCGCTAAGACAGGATCACTAAAGTGGGATCAGGGTATGCTCTGGTATATTTTTGTCTTCCCAGCAGTGAGAAGACACTTCTTTACATACAACATGAGAGATTAAAGATTACTTTTTACTCCTAACTAAAAATTAATGTAACACATTCCTGGTTTTCTACACTAAAGAAATAAAACGTTTTGAGGTTAAAACTGGGGTAGGATTAAACTTTAAAGTCTCTTTTATAAAAATAAAAATGGTTTTAGGTATTTTTAACAAGAGGTCTTCAGTTTTTAAAAGGAAGGCAGCAGTGGTTCCCCTATGTCTCTGGTAATGCTACACCCTTTTCAATCTAGGCCTCACCAGTTCCTACACCTCCATTTGAATGCCACATTTGCATACAAATAGGTAACATTCTTTCTTCTGAAGAGCTCAGAAACAAAACTATGAAAAGGAATTTAGAAGCAGGGTTAGTTTGTGTCCTATCCCAATTTACTTTCAGGGTTTTTTAACCTCTTCACAGTTTTTTAACTTCTTTCCCACTGAAGTTGTTACTCCAAGTGTGTCCTCAGCTAGAGCCTCAACTCTTTGATGAGCAGAATCTTTACTTCTGTGTCACCACAGCACCTGCTGCTGCATCCATGAGCACACAAAATATTTCTGCTGAGAAAGTCTGTGGGCTCCTGCAATTGCTTTTTCTTTGGCTGACATTCTAATCAAAGGGGGAGCTGTATAACAGAAAATGGTTCTGAAAAAGTCGTAATAAATTCTGTTTATTATAAAATATTGGCTAAGTATCTTGAAATTTAATACTCCATCTGCTATTTAAAACCTTTCAATTATTTGGCTACAATATTAAAAGTGTTTTCCAACATGAATCCTCCACTCCAGGCAGGCCAGTCTCACTGTTTCCACAGTAAACTCATTCCTAAATGCAAGTAGTTCTCACACAAAGTCCACTGAATTTCAATGTCCCCCAATTTTTTTAGTTTAACCAATATTATGTTCCTGTGACAGGTCTATCTCCAAAGGTACTTACACATTAGTTTTAAATTTACGTGGTGGGGGCACTGGGTTTTTGGCTCGCATGTCTAGCACTTCCATGTAATGAGGTTTCTTCTGGGTCCCACTACGAAGGCCTGTCAAGTTCTCAGTCCTCGTGTTTTCTTCCGAATGTTGCTCATCTGGGTCCACGATTGTGATTCTTTGTAACCGGTTAATAAAGAGGTCCTCGGAGCCGGTAGGATTATCTTCTGCTGGACCTGACCCAGGATGCTGAGGCAGACACTCACTGGCTTCGGGTGAGGAAGGTGCAGTGGCTCTGGGGCTGGAAGCCGGGCACTTGTTCACTGGGTACCCAATCTGAGGAGCTTTTTCATCATCTTTGTGACTAGAATGCACAAGTCCCTGTTGTGAGGTTGTTTTAGATGATGTGATGTTATCTAAAGAAGAAGAGCCAGGAACTAGTGAAGTATCAAGTATCTGGTCAGAATTCTGGGCTTTATCTGTGTCCACATCAACTGCGATTGCTTTTTGCCTCAGTTTACAGTCTAAACTAATAGGATGAAACAGTTCACTTTTTCCTCTAACTTCTTCCCGTTCTGCAATGGCAGCTTTCAGTTTGACAACAGAGTCTAAGATCTTTTTACCGTTGTCGGGCAATCTGCAAATGAATTTTCTGCGAAATGGAAAAGAACATGTATGCATTAGAGCCATGTTTTTAAACTTGAGATATAAAGACAAAGCATTATCTTCAAAGGAGGGGGGGGGGGAATCTATCTTTACGTTAAAAACCTGTCTTCCAATTTCCCCTAAGCAGGAATGTAATTATCCAACTACCCCCCAAAACAAGGGAATCCTGAAAGAATAGGGAATATGCCTCATTTGTTTCATCTAATTAGAATTTCAATAAAAGTATTTTATACAACACTAATATAAGATATTCCAAAAGTCAACAGAAGTGTGAATGATCTATAAGACCTTTCTGGGGAAGGGAAGTGGCCCTGTCTGGAAGGCCAAAGCATTTCCATAATCATACTAAGTAAGACACTTTGCCATTTCCACTCTCATTTTCTCACATGGGTACAGTGGAGTCTTCCAGAGGGCACGGGGATATTTGGTTATCACTGCTCTGGCTAATAGGCTGTGAGAGCTTGTACATTCTTGTGTTTTAAAGATTTCTCATTTGCAATCCCTAATGCATTGGCAAATATCCTCAGATCTAAAACAAGAGCTCTCGGGACACTCAGTAAGTGATAAATGATAGAAAGGAGGGTCCTGAGAACCAAAAGTGAATTTGCTGCAGTAGATGAAAAACCCATTCTCACTAAGTCAAAATACTGTGTCTACTGAGAAGCCCCCAAGGGATCAGCTGTCCCTTTTGCTGAGTTTCTTTTCGGATTCCTTTGCTTTAAGCGGGAAGGGAAGGTTACACCACGTTCATACATTCCCGCAGTTTCCACGGCCAGCATCCCCGCCGGCTGAGATCCCTGTATTTCCCTCCTCCCTCGGGCCCCGCGAAAACGTTCTCCACGGATTACAAACCTCGGCACCTCTGCCAACTACCCATCCAAATCAGTCCAAGCCCCACGTCCACCCCCACTTGTGCGGGCCTCTCTGAAAATACCCTCCCACTGCCCTCGGCCTCTCCTTCCTCCGCGCCCCGCACCGAGCTAAGGTCCGGCGCTAAGGCCGCTTCCTTAAAAGTCACGGCCCTCATGTGCCCCCGCCAAAACCCACCGAGCCCGCCACCGGGGGAGAGGCCAACCTTCTCTGCCCCACCAACCACTCTTCCCACCCCAAGGATTCCGGTAAAAAAAAAACAAAAAAAAAAACAGGATTTACAGGCGAAACTGCGGAGATGTTTGGGACACGACGTGGGGGATGTGGAGGCACAGCCCTCGGGTAGGAGCCCCCCCAGCGGCGGGTAAAGACCCCGAGGAGCCCGGCAGCGCCGGCGGGTGCGCGCACGGGCCGCCCCGCGGGGGAGCGCAGGGCCCCGCCGGCTCCGCGGGTCACCTAGGCCGCCGCTCCCCGCGGGGCGGCCCGGGGCCCAGGTCACCTTCCCCGGAGCGGGACGGGGTGGGGGGTGGGGGTGAGGTGGGAGGGTCACGTCCAGGAGCCAGGACCAAGCCCGGCGGGGACTCGGCGGGACCCAGGCTTACTCGTTGCGCAAAAGTCTCTCCTGGCGCCTCAACATGTCCCGCAGCTCCGCCGAACTCCGCCGCCCCAAGGCCTCGGGCGCCGGGGGCTCGAAGCCGCGGGGCAGCGAGCACATGCTGCGGGCGCGGCGGCGGGCGGGGCGGCGGGCACTCGGCTCCCTCGGCGGCGCCCGCTGCCAGCGCCGGGTCCGCGGCCGGCGGCGACGCTGGGGCACTCGAGGGCGTCGCCATTTTCCCGGAAGGACTGGTTTTATTCGAACCGAATCGAGCTTTATTGAAACGCCGGAAACGAACACAGACAAGGAGAAGGGGGCGCCCGGAGGAGTGCGCAGGGGCGAAAGTTCCCATGACGTCGGGCCCAGCTTGGGCGTGAGTGCGCAGGCGTCTGTTGCTTCATCTGTCAATTCAAACAGTTCTGCTCTCTGTAATACTGTCAACAATTAAATAAAAATTAAACTTTAATTTTTAAAAACTTTACTCATGCCCGACTGGTGGGACTGAATGTTTGAACTCGACCTGATTGCAGGCTGGACCTCCAGTGATTCTCATCATTGATGCTTCTATCTCTACCTCTCCCTTCCTCTCTGAAAAATAAAAATAAAAAAATATATATATTGAAGTTTTACTCAGGGCCACCATGACTCCAACAATAGCCGCAGCCCGTGTCATTGTGGAGTTTACGGAGTGCTGGAGAGGGCAGACGTCAGTCAAATAATAAAACAATGAAATGGTAAGATTGGTGTGGGCATCAGGGGAGGTGTCTGAGACGGGAAATGTAAGTCCAAACATGAGTGATGAATTAGCCATTGGTGAGGCTGGGGACTGTGCAGGACCTTGCTCAGAAGGCCCCAGTCTGTGGTGTGGTGCCTCTTGCCCGAATGGAGTCCTCAAATTTTAACAGTGGGAAGGATCCTTAGGGACCATTCACTTTTCTTTCTTTCTTTTTTAAAATATCTTTTTATTGATTTTTTTTTTTTTTTTTTTTTACAGAGAGGAAGAGAGAGGGATAGAGAGAAATATCCATCAGCTGCCTCCTGCACACCCCCTACCAGGGATGTGCCTGCAACCAAGGTACAAGCCCCTGACCGGAATCAAACCCGGGACCTTTCAGTGCGCAGGCTGATGCTCTATCCACTGAGCCAAACCGGTCTCGGCTCATTCACTTTTCTTAATGGGACTCTGTGGCATATGGATCCAGACTTTTATTCATTTGCGGCACTGCCCCTGGCATTGCAAGACATTTGGTGTCTGGCTTCAGAGCCTCTCTTAACAATTTCAGATTTTGCCTATAGAAAAAAAGAGGCACAAAAACACAAGTAAATATCCCCAGGGCACAACACTAGTGACAGCAGGAGCTTTCAAACTCAAATGTCCAGCTGCTCTTTCTACAACACAAACCTGAAATTTGTTCACATGTTTAAATTTGTTGAAAGGTATTTTTGTGTGTGTGTGTTTTAAAGGCTGTTGAGAAGAGGAAGGTGGCATAATAAGCACCACACCTAATTCTTACCCTCTCTTTATAATTCAGCTACCCTAGCTGTGTCCCAAAGGAAAGACTAGGAAGCATGTAAAAATCACAAGAAATAAAAATAATAATAATTTTTTTTTTAAAAAAGAATCACAAGAATGGCCCCACAATTTCCAACACTGCCTCTTCATTCTTTGATATGGAAAATTTATATTTTCTCAGTCCTATGTAAGGGGCTACAATAAACACAGCAATTCCCTTCTAACCAGACAGATGCTCTAAGTAATATCTGAAGCTGCTCCGGGGAGCACAGTTGAAACCATTTCTGTGTCCTCCCAATCTAGTCCATTCAGATCAGATTAACTGATGGTCCACAATTCTCAGCCTAAGCCCTGCTTTCAAGGACTTCAATAACCTGCTCTAGCCCTAACTAAATAAGAAATACTGGAGTAAAACCCTTGGCTCAGGTAATTGTTCCCTGGCAAGCTACCCCAAACCTTCCTCATCTTGTCCCTGAGCCAAAGCTGAGGCCTTTATTACCCCCTTCTTCTGATCCTGTGCCACAGGTGTCCCAAGGCAAGGATGCCTCCTGTTTAGCCTCAGGATGCTGCCCCCAGCTGTTTTTCCTCTTGTGGAAGGCTGTCCCTTTTCCCCTGCCCATTATAAATCTTAGCTCACGTCTCACCTTCTCCCTAGACTATCCCAACCCAAACTGCTCTCTTTTGAGCATAACTACAGTGCTTAGTTGAGTTAGAACCTCACTACAGAAGCATATTGTGCTTTTCCAATTGCGTTATGCATGGTGATTTCTTTGTCCTTTCTGATAGAGTTGTAAAGTCAGGGAATTCTATAAGGGGGCTATGTTTGTACTTCTGTTTCTCCTAAAGCATATTGACTAAATCTCACTTACAATTTTTCTTTCTGCCTTCCCCCCATATTCCTCTTACTCTTTTTTTAAACTTCTTTATTGATTATGGTGTCACATAATTGTCCTCATCCCCCCATTCCTATCCCAAACCCCTCCCCATGTATGCCCACCCCCTGTTGTCCATGACTTCTGAAGTGTCCCATTCATATATAGAAATCTTAAACTTTTTATATAAATATTAACCATAATGACTGTGGAGATATTTTCTGTGGTATGGGATAGAATCTTTTACACAACTTCGCTCAGGACTTCAAGGTTTCGTAATGAATATCTGAATTCATAACAACACCCATACACAAACTTTCTAGTTCTAAGCTTTGGATACAGAATAATGAGTGAGTTTCCTGCCAGACTCAAACATATATTCCATCAGATAGTATAAGTGCCACACAAAGATTTAATCAGGTGACGTGATCAGGAGTAATTGAGAGGCTACCTTGTTTGATTAGATGATTGAGGTTGGTTTTTCTGATGAGGTAATTTGTAAGCTGAGACTTGAATGACCAGAAGCAATTAGCCATGGGAAAATCTGACATAAAAACATCCCAAGTAGACACAAGAGCAACTGGTAAAGCTCTACAATAGTATGTCAAACTCGTGGCCCGCAGACCACACGCGGCCCACAATGAATATTTTGCAGCCCAACCAATAAACGGTATGTAAAAAACATTTGAATAAAAAAAAATTGCAACTTAATTTTTGCAATATCCTGTTATACATAATTATTAATAATGAATTACAATGTTTGCTAATGATTGATTACTAAAATCATATTGCATTCATTTCCCTCACTCGCCTTACTCGAACCTTTCTCTCCACTAATAGTAGCAGTGAATATTTTAGTAGCTGATTACCACATCATTAGTCTTGGACTGACTTGTTTGGTGTGCCCAACAGGAAATATTTTGCTTTCGGAGAACAAATAAAATAGGTTTCTTTGAGTTACGCTTATTAATTTGTGCAGTTATTCAGTGTCTGGTAAGTTAATGTTCAAGAAAAATATTAATTCTTATTAAAATGTTCTATTATGCCGGAACCAGTTTGGCTCAGTGGATAGAGCGTCGGCCTGCTGACTGAAAGGTCCCGGGTTCAATTCTGGTGAAGGGCACGTCCCCATTAGGGGTTGTGCAAGAGGCAGCTGATCGATGATTTTCTCTCATCGATGTTTCTAACTCTCTATCCCTCTCTCTTCCTCTCTGTGAAAAAATCAATAAAATAAAAAATATTTAAAATGTTCTATTATGTTATATGAATGATGACTCATTTATTTCAGCCCTTTGTATTCAGCAATGTCTCTATCAAAATAAACCCATGTTTCTATGAAAATTGAAGCTTTTGTTTTATTAGGGCATACATAAACTTGAACTTTGTTTATTTGGCCCATATTAGCCTTTGTGTTTGACATGCTTGCTCTACAAGGAAAAAGAGCTCTGAGTGTCCAAATAAAAAAAAAAAAAAAACCAAAAGGCAGGGCTAGATGTTGCAGTCCTTTGTAGGCTAAGATACGGAGATTAAATTTTATTCCAAGAGAAATGGGAAACCACCTGTCATTGCCAGCTCTCAGATGATACCTGCCAGTCCTGCTTTGGTCTAATCCCCTCCCATTGAATGTGGGCCAGACTTACTGATTTGCTTCCAACAAATAGAATATGGTCAACAAGATACAATTGGTGAAAGTTATGGGAAGTCACTTCAAGATTAGATTATAAAAGATTTGAACAGACATTTCACCAAAGAAGATGTACAGATGAAAAATAAATACACAAAAGGTGACCAATGTTATTAGCCATTAGGAAAATGCAAATTAAAAACACAATGAGATACTATTACACAACTATCAGAATCTCTAAGAATTGATCATGCCAAGTATTGGAAAGGTTATGGAGCAACTGGTAGTCTTATGCACCATTAATGTCGGTGTAAAATAGCACAGACACTTTTGAAAACAGTTTGGTAATTTCTTAAAAGCTGCCATGTGACCCAGCCATCCCTCAGCTAAAATTTTACCCAAGATAAATGAAAGTATGTCCATGTGAAGACTTGTAGATAGGTATTGATAGCAACTTTATTTGTAATAGTCCAAAACTGGACACAGCTAAATGTCCATCACTAGGTGAATGATAAACCAATCATGGTATGTCCATTTACTTGAATACTATAGTCTATGCAACAACATCAACGAATCTCAATTATACTCAATGAAAGAAGCCCCCCCCAAAAAAGAATTTATGTAGATTCTAAAAAATGCAAACTAATCTATTGTGTCTGAAAGCAGATCAGTGATTGCCTACTGATGAGGCACGGCAGGGAGAGGGTGGGAAACTGAACTTATATTTTCCTCCCCCAACCCACTCTTCCTTTTAAAGCTTCCACTGTTTGGCATGGCTCAGTAATTGAGTGTCGACTTATCAATCAGTTCAATTCCTGGTCAGGCGATACACCCCAGTTATGGGTTCCATCCTCAGTGTGGGATGTGCAGGAGGTAGCCAGTCAATGATTCTCTCTCATCATTGATTTCCTATCTCTCTCCTCCCTTTCTCTCTGAAATCAGTAAAAATATATATCTAAAAATAAATAAAAGAAAATTCAGACTGTTTAATGGCAATACCGTTCACCTAGTTGCCCTAACAAGAAATCAGGTATTCATACCTGACTATTCTTTTTCCTTCAACCTAACTGATCTCAAAATCCTGCAGCCTAAATACCTCCTTCTCTCTATA